GAATGGCGGCGGCGGCGCCGTGAGCTTGTGGGCCGCACTGCTCCTGGTGGCCGTGGCGCTGAGGCCGGCACGGGCGGTGTCTGAGCCCACGACGGTGGCCTTTGACGTGCGGCCCGGCGGTGTGGTGCACTCCTTCTACCAGAACGTGGGCCCTGGGGTATGTACCTCAGGCACCCCGGGGGCTTGAGCAATGGTGCAGGCGTAGGCAGGGCCTGGGGAGGGGGCGCGGACCGGCGGGGCGGGGTCTGGGGGGATGGGGGGAAACGGACCGGAGGGGGCGGGGCCTGAAGGGTCACGGACCGGCGGGGGTAGGGCCTGAGGATGGAGGGCGGGACTTGGTAGCGAGGCCTGACAGAACTAAGAAGGGAGGCGGGGCTCCTGGGGGCTGGCGGCTTTGGGAAGGCTGGGTCACTAGCCTCGTCTCTAATTCCTGTCTCATGCCCAGCGTGCCCAAGCAGCCTTATCCCCCAGACCCAGGTAACTCCCTCGCTGTTGGAGGGCAGGACGGGCCCAGAGATGGGGAGAGGGGAGCTGGAGGCTGATGGGCATATGCCTCCAGGGCCTGCAGAAGGTCGTCCCGCTGTAGCTCTGACCAGGGAGGAAGTGGACAGGCGTTGCTCTTTCCTTCCATTGCACAAGGTCCCCCCGTCTTTTTCACTGAAATGTGGGGCCAGGCCCTCCTTACCTGGAGGTAACAGGCCTGGGTCTAGTCTAGCCCATCCCTAGCTTATTGGAGAAGTCGCTTCCTCTCCCAGTCTCCTTTTCCCTGCCTGTAACAACGATATCAATCATCACTATTTGTTGAGTACTTCCTTATAACCAAAGGATATTGTGACAAATTCTTTATGTGAGGCGCATGTTACAGATGAAGAAAGAGAGGCTCAGAAAGCTTTGCACTTGTCCAAGGTCCACAGCGGAGCAGAGATGGGCCCCTAGGTGCACCTGCTTCCAAAGTTCATGTTCCTAGATGGGTGGGTGCTGGAGGGGGGTGTGACCTCCCCCTTCCTGGTCTTCATCCCCCAGAAGCCATCTGGGTTGTTTGTCCTTACCCAGGATCTCCCAAGTAGGGAGACAGGTGCGGGAATTCCAGATCTGCAGACACTGGAAGGCCTTGCAGGGCTGGCCTCCAGGGACATCGGCCAGAGGGATCTGGCTCCACCTCCTTTCTCTGAATGCAAATACTCAAAAGCAGGATCTTCTTGATTCTGGATCTCAGAAGGACATCCTGAGACCCTGTACTTCAAGCACTAACGATTATCTCCTACCGAGACTTTTTTTTCCTTCCATTCTCTAGGACAAATATACCTGTGTGTTCACCTACGCATCTCAAGGAGGGACCAATGAGGTGAGTTGTTCAAAATTCTACGTGGTTTAGTATGACAATATCCATTGTCATACAGAGATGCTCTCTAGGGGACACTGGACATCAGACTATTCTTACCTAACCAATAAAAGACAGTGCTTAAGTTACATAATGACAGCAGATTCCATTCATAATTCCACGGAGTGAACAAACGTCTGGACAGAAGGAGGGATGTGAGATGTGACTCTGCCATTCCCATGAGTCTCTATTAAGGGTATTTTGTTCTTTTTCTGTGCTGAGTAACAAATTATCACAGACTGAGCAGCTTAAAACAACACCCATTTATTATCCCGCGGTTCTGGAGGTCAGAAGTCCCGGTCGGCTCAGCTGGATGCTTCACAAAGTGACAATCAAGGTGTCAGCTGGGCTGGGTGTTCACCAGCAGGCTCTGGGGAGAACCCTCGTCCAGACGCATTCCAGTTGTTAGCAGAATTCGGTCCCTTTCGGTGTGAAACTGAGGTCCCTAGTTCCTTGCTGGCTGTTTTCTCCAGCTGGAGGCAGAAGAGGAGGTAAGAGAGATTCGAAGCACGAGAAGGATGTAGTGCACCACAGCTGGCTTTGAGGGACCACGTGGGAGGGAGGACGTGGCCTCCAGGAGCTGAGAGCGGCCCCCGGCTGGCAGCAAGGAAATATGGGCTTCAGTCCTCCAACTGCAAGTAATGAATTCTGCTGCACCCACATGAGTTGGAAGAGGACCCAGAGCTCCAGGTGGGAACGCAATCTGGCTGACACTTTGATGTCAGCTTATGAGACTGAGCAAAGAACCCAGCCCCACCATGCCCGGACTTCTAACCTACAGAATTGTGAGCTAATGAATGGGTATTGCTTTTTTTTTTTTATTAATTTATTTATTTTTATTTATTTTTGGCTGCGTCAGGTCTTTGTTGCTGCACGCGGGCTTTCTCTAGTTGCGGCGGGCGGGGGCTACTCTTCGTTGCGGTACGTGTGTTTCTCACTGCGGTGGCTTCTCTTGTTAAGGAGCACGGGCTCTAGGCGTGCGGGCTTCAGTAGTTGTGGCACGTGGGCTCAGTAGTTGTGGCTCGCGGGCTCTAGAGTGCAGGCTCAGTAGTTGTGACGCACGGGCTGAGTTGCTCCGAGGCACATTGGATCTTCCCGGACCAGGGCTTGAACCCTTGTCCCCTGCATTGGCAGGCGGGTTCTTAACCACTGCGCCACCAGGGAAGTCCGGCACAGCTTTTAATGCTACTAAATTTGCGGTAATTTGTCACACAATGTAGTGAGTTGAATGAGGCCCCCCCATAAAGATATGTCCACATCCTAATGCCTTGAACCTGTGACTTTTAAGAAAAAGTCTTTGTAGATGCAATTAAGTTAAAGATCTTGAGATGAACAGATTATCGTGGATTACCCGGGTGAGCCCTAAATCCAGTGGCACACATCCTTATAAGAGACACACATGGGAGATTTGATAAAAAGAAGACACACAGAGGAAAAGGCCATGTGAAGATGGAGGTAGAGGTGGAGTGATGTGGCCACAAGCCAAGGGACACGTGGAGCCACCAGAAACTGGAAGATGTAGGAAGGATTCTCCCCTGGGGCCTCCAGAGGGAACATGGCCCTGCCCACACCTTGTTTTTGGACTGCTGGCCTCCAGACTGTGAGAGAACAGATTTCAACTGTAAGCTACCAAATTTGTGGTGATTGTTCCAGCAGCCCCAGGAAACGAATACACACAGCAATAGATTACTGTTACAGCCAGTAATGCACCATTACAGATAAATACTCTGAGGATAAAATACTGTTGTTAAATTCTGGCTAGACACCGCCGCTTGGTTGTGTCTGAAGGGAGGGCAGCACACGTGTTTGAGAAGAGACACAAAACAGACTTTCTCCTCGTGATTGTTAGAAAGAATGAAAGATAATTGAAAAGGAAGAATTAATTGTCACTGTGAAAGTCAGTATAAAGCATCTTTTGTACCCCTAAATTGTGCTTTCCTCCCCAACCCTCAGACTGTAGGGGACACTACTGTCCTTCCAGAATAGTCTATGGCACTGTGTCCCCTAACAATGGAGAGTCCCAGAGATGGAGGCTGCCTGGAGACTGCTCCATGTTTGCCTGCCACGTGCCTACCCCTCCCAGCATCCTGGTTCTGAGTCCATCTCTTCCCCCGCCACTCCCCAACTCAGGGCAGCACATTAAAATGGGCAAGAGCGGGAATTCCCTGGGTCCAGTGGTTAGGACTTGGCGCTTTCACTGCCGTGGCCCCAGTTTCGATCCCTGGTCAGGGAACTAAGATCCTGCAAGCCGGACAGTGCGGCCAAAACCAAAAAAAAAAACAAAAAAGGGTGAGAGCGAGTCCGCCCGCTCCACCGGGCACTGCTGACTTTAGAGGCGGGGTCATTCTCTGTGGGGGGCTGTCCTGGGCAGCCTCCCTGGCCCCCACCCACTCGATGCCAGCAGCCGCCCCACCCAGTGTGCACTGGGGGACAAAAGGGTCCCCAAGTGAAAACCGCTAGGCAAGAGTGACATGAAATGCACTCCTTATTTTGCATATTTCCAGTTTGTAAGTAAAAGTAAATGATTCTGAGCAACAGTATTTTATTTCATTTATTTATTTTTTTTGGCCACACCACGTAGCATGTGGGACCTTAGTTCCCTGACCAGGGACCAGGGATTGAACCCATGCCCCCTGCATTGGAAGCGCAGAGTCCTAACCACTGGAAGGGAAGTCCCCCAGCAACAGTATTTTAACAAAATGTAGCAAACGCCTGGTTACACCCTTCCCAGCGGTGTCACCAGGGGGTGGCAGCTCTGCTGGGGAGCATCGTCGCCCTTCCTCCTGCCTCCAGGACAGCAGGCATCCTGCGATCATCCGCCCCTTCCTTGGCCACCTCTGGGCCTCGCTGCTTCTCCAGGTGGTCCACTAAATTGTGGCATGGTGACAAGTGGTGGAACATTCTCCCTTGGTCCAGCCATGCCCTGCTGCAAGCTCCAGATCCGTCCCAAAGCGCCTTCCTGCCCCAGTCAGCCCTTTCCATGCCTCCTTTGTTGTGTAGATGATCAATTCATTATACAATAAAATTGTGATAGCACCATCGCCTTGGTGTTTGTCGAGCGGCCCGCAATGTGCTGAGACAGATACACGTCTCGTTTCCTCTTCAGAACCCCAGGAGGCTGTCCTTATCACCACCTCACACACGAGGACACGGTGGCTCAGAGGCTGAAGACTGCCCTGGCTCCCCCAGCTGGGACATGACCAAGGTCCCCAAGGCGCAGGCCCCTGACCGCCGCCCTGAGCCAGGACATGCCCCGCGTCACCAGCAGCTCGGAAAAGAACGCCCGCGCCTCCCTAACGGCACCCTTGGGATGGACGGTCCACTGCAGCGTAGGGGGAGAGAGCTAGGCTCACTTCTGGAAAGGTGGCTGGGTCACAAATTCTAAAACCAGCATCAGGCTTGATTCTCCCGTTTCGGATGAGGGAATTGATTCATCCTCAAGGAAACACCTAAGAGCACAGCAGACATGTCTAGCACCGACTTGTTCCGGCAGCACCAGCCTAGAACTGTGATCATCAGACACCACGGGCCGACTGCAGAGCTGCGTGAACCCAACGGTGCAACCCACGGGCTCTCTGGCTGCTGGCCTGCCGCCCGCTTAGTAGCAAACAGACGGCCAGATTCTCGGCAAACGTGCAGGGGCCATCCAAGATGTTCTCCGGGATCCGCTTGGCCACACTTGGGGGCCCTGCCAAGATGCCCCTCGGAGCAGCTGGAACGGAAGCCCCAGAGGCCCAAGTGGCACTTCTCTAGAGCCATCGTCAACAGAGGGGAAATGGGTCTGTGGTCTGGGCTCCCAGGGGGCCCGGGATGCAGGCTGGGCTTGGGGAGAGCGGGAGACCAGGCTGCTTTGACAGTGGTTCGTTTCTCCAGAGGGTCACCTGAGAGGCCGGCTGGTGCCGGGTGACAGCAGGCACAGCGTTATTCATTATCTCAGTGCCGGCCAGCATCCTGAGCAGCCAGAGAGCTCGTCCAAGGTTGCCGGGAATGCGGCCACTTGGGAAGACTGGCCCTTTCTTATCAAGTTAAACATACAACCCCATGCTTCCACTCCTCGGTATCTCCCCGTTAGAAATGAAAACTTATGTCCACACAAAGCTTGTACGTGAATGTTCATAGCAGCCTGATTCATAATAGCCAACAAGTGGAAACAACCCAAGTGTCCCCCAGCTGATGATGGATAAACACAGTGTGGTCCCTTCACACATGGGAACATCAGTCAGCCACGAAAAGGAGAGAGGCACTGACCCTCGCTACATCGTGGACGGACCCTGAGAACACGATGCTCAGTGAGAGAAGCCAGACACAGAAGGACACACAGTGTGTGATTCCATTGATGGGAAACGTCCAGAACAGGCAGATCCACAGACACAGAGGGTGGGTTCATGGTGGTTGGGCTGGGGGAGGAGATGGGGGTGTGCCTGCTCATGGGGATGGGACTTCTTTGGGGGGTGATGAGAATTAGATACAGGTGATGGTTGCACAGCTCTGAATATCCTAGGAAGCTTTGAAGCATGCACTTTAAAAGAGCATATCGTCTATACATGTTTTATTTTTTAATATAAATTTATTTATGTATTTTTGGCTGCATTGGGTCTTCGTTGCTGCACGCGGGCTTTCTCTAGTTGCGGCAGGCGGGGCCTACTCTTCATTGCGGTGTGCAGGCTTCTCATTGTTGTGGAGCACAGGCTCTAGGCGCGCGGGCTCAGTAGTTGTGGCACGCGGGCTTAGTTGCTCCGCGGCACGTGGGATCTTCCCAGACCAGGGTTCAAACCCACGTCCCTTGCATTGGCAGGAGGATTCTTAACCACTGCGCCACCAGGAAAGCCCCATATTGTATGTTATGTAAACTGTTTCTCAATAAAGCTGTTAAAAGTAAGTGAATTATTGATATACGTGTAGCCACATGGGTGAATGTGATATGCGTTAGGCTGAGTGAGACTGACAGGCGCAGGAGACCATGTCCTGTGTGATTCCACTCAGGTGGCATTTTGCAAAGGCACAACTATGGGGACAGAGCAGATCAGTGGTTACCGGGAATTTGCAGGAAGGGGTTGACTCCAGAGGGATGGAGGAGAGATACTGGGAAGATGGAACTGATCTGTATCTTGATTGGGTGGTGGATACACAGTGTGTGCATTTGTCAAAACTCATAGAAGAGACACTGAAATGGGTCCATTTCACCATCTGTTACTCGTCTCCTAATAAAAAATAATAGCGGTTACCAATTACCTGTCCTCTATTACACCCAGCCACTTAGATCCTGAGCTCCCTAGCCTCCCAGAGAAGGTCACAGAGGCTCGGGCTGAACAGGCTGTCCCAAAACACACCCTCGTGTGACTGTCTGATGCCAAAACCTGAGCCTTACCAAGGGTGCCTACTGCCCACCCCAGCCTGCGGTGTCGAGACCAAGGTCAAGTTCATGTAACAAGACCACTCAGAGGGATGTTGACCCTATTTTGCTAAGAAGCTCTTGGTTTTAATTTTGTTTGCTTTCATAATTTTAAAAAAAAATGTTTAAATGTTTGCCTCGGGACTTCCATGGTGGTCCAGTGGTTAAGACTTCAAGCTCCCAACGCTGGGGGTCCCAGGTCCGAATCCTGGTCGGGGAACTAGATCCCTCATGCATGCCAACTAAGACCCAGCACAGCCAAATAAATAAATATTAAAAGAAAAAAAAAAAAAAAGCCTCATTTTCATGAATCTTTTAAGAGCTATGGAAAACCATCCCAGATATATTTCACAGCGTAAAACTGTTACCGGGTGCTCAGAGGCCTGGAGCCGTGGGCAGGAGTTTTTAAATAGAAAATAAATGTGTTGGGCAGGTCCCCTTGCCATGCCTGCCCTACCTGAGTAATTGGCTTCTACCTTCATGCTGCAGGCAAAAGACTTCCAAGTCACCGTTTACTCCCATTATAATTAACATACAAATGGCCTTGTTTCTATTAATGGAAAAGCTCTGGCATTTAACCAGATGATCAGCAACTGGATTCCACCTTTACTCTCAGGAGAGGACGGGACACTCTCATTTTCCTAGCAAAATGCAAAAACGCCACAGGTCACCAGACCTTGCGTTTGGCCGGGTTTTCAGAGGCCCTGAAAATGAGAATAAACTGGTAGCGGTGTGTTTTGGAACCATTAAAAAAATTTTTTTAATTTAATTTTTTAAAAAAGCTAACACACGGACTTCCCTGGCGGTCCAGTGGTTAGGACTCCACGCTTCCACTGCAGGGGGCATGGGTTTGATCCCTGGTTGGGGAACTGTCCCGCATGCCGTGTGGCCAAAAAAATAAAAATAAAAAAGCTAACACACGTCGTTCAAAAAGAAAAAAACATAAAAAGCTCTCCAGCGCCTTCTGTCGGCCCAGTTCCCACCCACGTCCTACATGTAACTGGGGTTATTAAAATCTTGCATCTTCTCTGAGGACTGCTCTATGCTTATGCAAGCAAGCATGGGTGTATTGTCTTTCCTTCTTTTATTTTTGTTTTTATCTTTCCCAATAGACTTTAATTTTTACAGCAAAATGGAGTGGAAGGCACAGAGATTTCCTGTATACCCCTGCCCCCCAACCATCGCCCACCAGAGTGGGACGTTTGTGACAGTCGTTGATGAACCTACACGGACACGTCATCACCCCAAGTCCAGAGTTGCCATCAGGGTTCACTCCTGGTGTGGTGTGTGCCGTGGGCTTGGACAGAACTATAATGATGGCGAGGCTGTGTGTTCCGGACTGACCTGCCTGTCCTCTCTCCCCAGAAGTGGCAGATGAGTCTGGGGATCAGCGAAGACCAGCAGCACTTCACCTGCACCATCTGGAGGTGAGCGAGGGTCCGGTGGTGGGAGCTCCTTCCGGACGAGACACCTTTGTTCTGGGCGGTACCCGTACTGACGGCGTCCTGTGCCCCTGGAGGGTCGCAGGCGGCAGAGGGGGTGCCATCCTGTGTGGGAGTTGAGGGCAAGGAGGGCCTGCCGGGGAAGCACGTTGACACTGAGGCCCAAAGGGGGCGCGGGGGACTGGGAGGTGGCATCTAGGCAGTGGCCGCAGCCCCGGGAGCGGGGCCGGGCTCCCCAGATGCCACCCCCTTCATGGTCACCTCAGTTACATTCCTTGCTCAAGGGCTTCATCTCCCGCTGCGCCCACCCTTCTCGTAATCCCACTTCCTGGATCCCAGCTCCATGAGCCCGAGAACGGGGTGCTGGGCCCTCTGATGGGGAAGAGGGTGATAGAGTTTCACCAATTCCTGGCCTTTCTCCCCTGGGCCTCACGGCCTGGAATGTGTCGCCCGAGCAGAACAGATTTCTCAAGCATTTGCCACGCGCCTGACGTAGAAGTCCCAGCCGCATTCTCACCCTCATGGGACCGGGGTCAACATAGGGGACGGATCAAGAAGTGGGACACATTAGAGAGCAGTGACAGCGACATTTAGTTAAAGAACACGCTTGCAGGCGTTGGCGCAGAATCCCCGTCTCCTGCTCGATGCGTTACAAACCGCAGGCGTTTTAGTACCAAGTATTGTTGGGGAGCTTCTCGTGGGGGCAGAAGCCCTGCGTCCTCAACACGCTACCATCATCCCCGCTGAGAGGGGAGACCCTGTCTGTGCCCCTTCCCAGCCTCAGAGAGAAGCATCCCAGAGGCAAGGAGCTGGGGTGGGGGGCTCCCTAATTACAGGTTAGTAATCAGGGCTGCATCCCCCCGCCAGTAGACCACCGTCTCACACAGGCTTGTGAGCACCAGCCCTCCACCTGGGCACAGACCCAGGCCGCACTGGCCCAAAGCAGGGTCCTCAGCCCACAGCCTCTTAGCTGACCACCCAGCGGCCCCCCAAGGACACGCTCAGCCCCAGACACCCTGCCGTTCCTAGTTAACCCCCATACTTCACACCCCCGGGATGTGGCCCGGCCTCACCCCTAGTGCACACCTGGGATGCTGTCCACTGGATGAGAAGTGTTCTGTGAGCGGATGCGAGAGGCCCCGTTCTAGAACAGCTCCTACCCAGAAGGGGAAAGAGGCTTGTCCATCAACGCGCCGGAAGAG